TATTATTTTAAGGTAACTGAAATTATAACATTAATATAACATTAATATAACATGTTACATAACATGTTACCTCACTAAGTGGGAAATAATAACTAACATCTAACTTCCATGTTACTTTTATGCTACATAACCTGTTAGTTTCGAAAACGTAACATTTACCCAATAGTTATATAACAGTGTTCACTGGGTAATGGTTTAAATTTCAGCCTCAACGAAGTTTCAACTCAGCCTCACACATCCAGATTTCGGTCAACATGGAGTCGACGATCTTTTTAAAGCTCTGGGACCAGTGGCCATTTTTTCAGCGAAAAGGCATTGGACTGCTCCCAGGTTGATCCAACTACAGCGAGGGTCTGGAGGTGAAGGTTTTGGGTTTAGTGTCCGAGGGGATGCACCTGTTATTATCGCCGGAGTTGATCACAATTCCCTCGCAGATGTAAGTTTAAAGGATCCATTTATCTTGTTCAAAATGTCTTAGAAGTTATTTCACATTTCGTTTATAAAAGCGCCGCCAGAAGAAGAACAAGGAGAGCTTTCAACGTTCAACAGATCGGTTGAGAAAATCAGTAGTCACGATTGGCTTTAAGAAAAACAAAGTGCTTTTTGCAATTCGATGTTCGAGGAGACATGATGTAACTTTTTAAACATCATGGTATACTTAAAATACCTGCAGTTTCATTCTTTTACATAATGTGAAATGATTCCTACCCACCAAGCACACCATGTTACAGTTACATAACACTGAAATAACATGATATATAATATAATTAAAAAAATACATTAATATCATACCGATTTGTTTGAAATTTAACCACGGGAATATGGAGGCCCTAAAGTAGGTCTTGAAACTCATGAAATTTCATTTTTCATCAAAACTTTATTTACTTATCATGGACTAGAACCAACATGGCATGGTCCGGGCACGTTTTCGATGTTTTACGCTTCTTGGAGCCTTAGAATTGGAAATGAAGAGTTTCAGGACCTATCTCGAACAATTTAGAATACCGTAGAAATAGAATATTACAGAGTGAGATGGGAAAATATGGAAAACACTTTTACCAACGATTGCAAAGCTTGTCTCGGGACTTACGCGTGTTTTTAGAGCAAAAATTTAGTTGCAGGTAAACGTCACAGATCGCGACGTTGCTCCTAAATAATCGTTAGAATAATAAATTCACGGGATTTCTACAGTTCTACATTGATCTTTTCATAATTACTTTACTTAAATGGCATATGGAATGCTTTAATTCGTATAATTCTCAAAGTAGACTATAATAGACTTCAACATACCTATAAATGAGCCGCTCAGTGCACACATTGATTAACTCCATAAAACAAAAAGTTGAGAAATGCGATGAAGTAATGTAGATTCTTTTTTAAAATTCCTANCATAATTTTTTTTCCTAATTGAGAAAATTATATTTTTCATTTATTGTTATGAGAGAGCTTTTCCAGGTGGATTGGTATAAAAAATATTATGTTCTTGTGCGCGAAACTTCTAAATCGTCCTTTGACATGCCTTATTTTGGATGGTGGTTTCACCCCCTTAAAGTGTTTAATGGCAGATAAAGAAAAATACGTGTCGCTTATTTTTTAGTCTACTATAACATATTATGAAATAAATCAAATCGAAGAGATCGACGGGATACCTTCCTTGTGAGTAGACACAAAAATGTTTAATTATGCCGAAAATCTCACCTTGCTTTTGTCAGTTTCCCTCACTTCGGAGATTTCCAGTTTCTCTCCAATTTGTTTCTGGTGATTCAGTAACTGTTTTTTCCTTATTTTTGAATAATTATAGTAGCCCCTAGTGACGTTATCATAAGCCTCGGCGTACTTTTGTAGAGCTTTTATGCGCTCCGATCTTTCTATTGGTTGCATATCTAGTTCTTTTAATTGAGGTAACGTTGCTATCACAAATTCTCGATATCCATCATAATCTGTGCATGGATTACCGGTTAAGATCAATTGTTCTAGGTTTTGATTTCCACTGTTCGCGAAGATTTGAAGCAGCAAGATTAATTTCAACGTAACAAGCGAAATAAAATTAATTAATTTAATTACCTTAGTGTTTTGACGCCTCGTATATCCCCAATAAAATTAACCGTAAGATCTAGCTTCTGCAGACTTTCTAATCCCTCGAGGTTTTCGATAACCTCGATATTATTCAGAGCTAAATTAAGGTATTCCAACCTCTTCAGCTTATTTAAATTCTCAATTTTCGATATGAGGTTGTACTGCAACAGCAAGATCTTCAAGTTCCTGCAGACCTTGTCCAGTAGTTCGATCTTATCAATGTTTTCTTGATGAAGAGATATTTCTTCAAGAGTTGATATTTCCCCCTCATTATGCTCCGAGCGCTTTCGAATAAGATCCATGGTAATTCGCACCATTTTAGGCAAATATTTTGTTCCTAACTTGAACTGCTCTTGCGGGGTGGACACTTCAATAATTCGGCGGGCAAATTGTACTTTTAATTATTCACGTATTATGTGGAAAACTGACGTTACAGGATTCATTCAGAACTCTTTGCTGCGCCATTGAAATTATCGATTTAACGCGCCGTAACAACCAGGAATGTATGTGTAATAAATTTGTGCCCTCCACCTTAAGGACGGCCCTCGTAATCAATGATACTCACTCGAATGAATGATAAACTTCAAATGATTCGACCATAATGATTCATCTTGTTGAAAATATATATAAATCTTAAAAGCCTTGAAAAAGTTTAGAAAGTGGAAAACAGATTTTAAAAAACTTCCAAAGAACTTGAGTTTTGATTTTCAACACGCTAGGGTATATACATAACTGTGTGATTTACGCCCTAGTAGTACATAATAATTTCTATATATTCTTTTGTAATCTTTGCTAAATATCTCAAGCGACAGATTTTTTAAGATGTCTCATAGACTTCATTTGAAGATCAAATCTATCTAAAATATTTGTTGAAAATCCCAATGACATATTTAATTTTAATAATTTATAAAGGTGTATCGAAATTATATATATTTATTTATTATAATTTATAAACATAATCACAAAAAATTCTTGTACTGTAAAACCAGATTTCAGTTTGTAAAGACGTATTAAACATTTTTTTAAATATAATATGTTTAAGATCTGAATAACGTTCTAGATAATTCAAGTACTATTTTGAAGTGTCGTGGAACCTGTCGCTATTTAATATTATCTCGTAAAAAATACCATATTTACAAAAGCAAATATCCGCCACTGGGGGGAATAACCAAATAATTCACTGACTTCTTTATGAGACATTCGTCAGACCTTTGTACATATTATCTTTTACTAAATTTTCTACAATGTTCTAGGACTTTATCTTGGAGCATTACAGCGAGGATGGAACTAACTACGAAGAGGCTATTGCAGACCTCATGGATACCAGGCAGGTAAGAGCCATTCGATAAATAATTCGTAACAATTGCTTCCCCGTTTAAGGTGAAGTGAAACCCCTTTCAAATCAGTCGAATCGAATACAACACTTTTTTTTATGGGTAATAGACCAAATTATCCGAAACTTTGACACATCACTCCTGATCATCTAAGAATTGTCCTGACACATTAAAAATTTGGATTTTTGGAAAACATTTTTTAACTGAGCCCAGACCAGAACCAAAATGGCGTCGAGCTCTCATATTTCGATCAATATACAATTATCGACGGCTCTGATGTGAGAAACAAAAGGGTCAGGACAATTTTACAACAATTTAGAACACTCTGGTAGTCTATAAACTCGCATTTGAACGAGATAAAGGCAATAAAAGTGTTGTATGCGCTTCTATGCCAAAACGATGGGAATACGAGGTCTCGGAGTGAAAATTTAATTGACCTGGAAATCCCAGATGGCGCAGGGTGTCCCTCTGCAGCCAATTAGGGCCCCAGAAAGCATGAATCCATAGGATTTCTGGAGTTTTACTTCGATTTCTTCATAATTATTGTACAAAAACGACAGGTGGAGTATGCTATTTGGTACGATACCCAATATAATTCGACACAACTGTCAACATAAAACCGAACGTCGGCAACGTAGGCATTTAAAAAAATCTTCTTTATCGACGTCGATCAAGTTCCTCGACGCGTTTCACTTCACCTTAAAGCTAATTTTTAAATATATCGTTTTGTATGTTTAAGGCAACCAGAACGCCGACAAGAGACGCGGCTGGAATCGCCCTGCTTCTGAGATACTACAACCAACTATACTTCATCGAAAGACGCTTTTTTCCGCCTGATAGAAGCCTCGGGATCTACTTTGAGTGGTTCGACTCACTAACCGGAGTTCCGAGTTGCCAACGCACAGTCGCATTCGAAAAAGCCTCGATCCTGTTCAACGCGGGAGCTCTTTATACGCAATTAGGTGCTAGGCAAGATAGAAGAAATGCTCGCGGTTTGGACCAAGCCGTGGATGCGTTTTTGAGAGCTGCTGGGACCTTCAGATACATTCATGAGAATTTCACGAATGCACCGAGTATGGACCTGGGCCCTGAAATGTTGGACATGTTGGTCCAGCTAATGCTGGTGAGTTTATTATCTTGTAATGCGTTGATTCAATTCTGGAAAACTTTGATCGTTAATATTGAAAATATACTTAATTGCACGAAAAAAAAAGAATGGGGAGGATCACCACAATTGTAGTAATCGTAACTCTATTGCAAAGCAACCTTGGAAGGAGGTTGCATTAAGGTGAAGTGAAACTCTCTCAAATCAGTTGATTTTAATAAGACACTTTTTTTTTAAGGGTATTGGATCGAACTGTCCGAAACATTGACTCGTGAGCGCCTAGGAGTTATCCTGACACTTTCAAAATTTGGATTTAAAAAAAAAATTGTTCAACTTAGGCCGGACCAGAACCAAAATGGCGCCGAGCTCTCATATTTTGATCGATATACAATTATTGAAGGCTCTAATATGAGAACCGAAGGGTCAGGACAATTGCACGGCAATTTAGAACAGTCTGGTAATCGAAAAACTTGCATTTGAACGAGATAAAGGCAAAAAGTGTCTTATGTGGTTCTATGCTAAATCGATGGTAATGCAAGGTCTCGGAGTGAAAATTTAGTTGACACGGAAATCACAGATGGCACAGGGAGTCACTCCGCAGTCAATTAGGGCATCAGAAACCATGAATCCAGGGGATTTCTGGAGTTTTACTTCGATTTCTTTATAGTTATTGTACAAAAACTTTAGGTGGAATATGCCATTTAGTACAATACCCAATATAATTCGACACAGCTGTCAAAATAAAAACGAACGTCTGGAACGTCTAGGTATTAAAAAAATCATTTTTACCTACATCGATCAAGTTCCTCGACGTGTTTCGCTTCACCTTAACCAACGTATCATAGTAAAAAGAACATTGTAAAGGTTACTTTACCAGTTAGTCAACGTAACTACAAGGATTGAGTTGTTCCACCATTATGCATAGTTGGGAATTTTATTATAAAATTTACTGTCAACATAAAAAATTAGATTATTATGATTACGAACGCTATACTTATGTTTCTGTCAGTGTTCTCATACATTTCTACCTCAAGTAGTAAAATATCATTGAAATAGTATAATATCATTGCAGTTGAGTAGTAAAATATCATTGAAGTTGAGTAGTAAAATACCATTAAAGTTGAGTAGTAAGATATCATTGGAGTTGAGTAGTAAAATATCATTGAAGTTGAGTAGTAAAATATCATATTGATGCTCAAAAATGTGGTTTCTCGACGATCACTGCCCTTTTCTCTTCTTCGGGAAGGGGTAGAGTCACTGTATTGTAAACGTAAGGGATATTAACGGGTCTTATATGCACACAAGCAGTCTGCATCGTCTGCGCGAAGTTTTGCCACCTGACGGTGCTGTCGAAACTAATGGGGCCAAACCATTATTTCTGCAATCACATAGGCAAGATTTAGAATAACCTTGCAACGTGTAAGATCTTACTATGATATATGGTTACAGCTCCCAGATAAATCTTCCATTTTCCTGGGCGTATTGTAACTTCTTTTACTAATTTTACCATTCCAAATGGTGATCACTCCTGCACCTTTTAAGCGTAGCGCCATGGATACAGTACCTATTCGCAAAATTACATTTATCATTCCATGTGGTCAATTTCACCATTTGTGTGGTTTTACTTCCCACAGTAATTTAACCATGTCCCTGTAGTAATTGTAACTAAATTATTTTTTTTCGTGTGATTTCCAGGCTCAAGCGAGGGAATGTCTATTCGAGAAACTCGAATTACAGTCGAGAGGTGGTAGAAATATCGACGTGTCTTTAGACCTTGCTCAAGAAGCTGCACAGGTACTAAAACGATATTCTACGATGGCTTAACGAAGGGGGGGAATTTTATTTGAAAGTGTTGCAATATGCAAATGATTTTGTCTGCATTCTAGGTGGCAGCGGTCTATAACGATGTTCATGGATTAATATCTCGAGAACCCGTTCGAGATTACGTTCCTGAATCTTGGATATCGTTGGTGCTGGTTAAACGCGAACATCACTTAGCTCTAGCTCATAAACATTGTGCCGCTGGTATTTTAGAAAGATCTATATCGGAATATCGCACAGAAACAAAGCTCACCCTGGAGCACATCCAAGAGAGCGATGGAAAGACGCAAATGGATGTGACCGTGCCGAAAGATGACATCGAAAGGAAGTCATTAGGTGATTACTAAAAAGATGCATCAAGAAACTTGTAGGGTCGAATGATGAGCAAAACGCGCCTTGCGCGTTTGAGCTTCAGCGAGTATTTAACGCCAAGGATTTAACGTTAAATTTCAGGAGTGGAGGAAATGGGAATATATTCTCTCCATTACTATTGAAAAAGAAATACGTCAAAATCAGTGGCTATGCCAACTTTAACATTAAGCTACAAATTTATTGCTTATTTATTGCTCAATTTACAATTTCGCTGCTCCACCCCTTGAGTCCAAAAATTACCCCCTCTACATATACATGAACTGCCTGTCCTTCCTAACGGGCATAAATACATTTTTATAAATTATAATTACTTCTTGGGTCAAGCAATAAAATCCTGCACTATGGCAGGATTTATTGCTCCACCCCCTGAACCTAAAAACTACCCCCTCTTCTAAAGGGGTGGCACTTATTTTTTTAATTTCACACAAAATGTTAGGTACCGCTGCCAGCTTAATGTTAAAGCTAGCATAGCCACTGATTTTTTGAAAACGGCTAGAGCAATAACATTCAAATTTGTGTAGTAAATAAGCAATAAATTTTGGTGTTTGATTTATGCGGTTATGCTTTAGGGATGTAAAACGTCCCTAAAGCTTGCAGCGCCACGTCAGCATAACCGCATAAATCATACACCAAAATTTATTGCTTTTTTATTGCTGACTTATTACACAAATTTGAATTTTATTGCTCCAGCCGTTCTCAAAAAATCAATGGCTATGCCAACTTTAACATTAAGCTGGCAGCGTAAAATAAATGAACGTTCGACCAGCTCAAAAAATCAAGCAAAAATCAGGAACATTTCTTTTTTTAATTTACCCATCACCGATCGCTAATATGTACGTGAAGATATGACAGTTTCAAATTTTACATGCGCCCAGATTCGGTATAGTTTATTATCCTCGTCGTTGACGTCGTTGTCGTCGTTAGCGCCGTTGTCAACTCTTAAACTGAAGAGTATGTAAATTTTGTACACCTTAATAGGTAAACTTTCATACAATTTTTCGACACATTTTTTCACATTTCTCTTGTGGAACAGACACGAACTATAGCCATCTCAGCTTTCAAATTATTGTATTTTAGTAGAAAAAGTGTTTCTGGAAGTTTTTGAAATCGCTGAAGCCAAATATAATAATAGAATTTCGAAATTCAAAATAATGGATCTAATATGCCGGAAAACAAATTTCAAAATGATTGGATTTTTATAAGAAGGATTTTTCTAGATTCATGGAATCACTGGATCCAAATCTGTCAACAAAATTTCAAAATTCAAAATGGCGAATAGAAATTATCAACATAGCTGCATTTTTAAAAGAAAAACAAAGGTTTTTCAAGATCTTTGATGTCGCTGAATCGAGTTCTGGAAACTGAATTCAAAAATTCAAAATAGCCAACCCAATAAGGCGAATAAAAATGTAAAAATGGTTTGATTTTTATAAACATGGGTTTTTCATGGTTTTCGTAGTCGCTAAATCCACATTTTATAATAGACTTTCAAAATTCACATTGGTGGATACATTATGGTGCTATTAATAACGTAGAGATTATCGATATAAGAAAATATACTCATTTTACTCATCATTCGACATTATGAGTTACTTGATATAACGCATACGAAATATAGATATTCATAGTAATTTTTTCTTATCAATACACGTCTGTAGCAATTATATTTTAGTAATATAGGAGTGTATCGAATATATTTGCCGAATTTATTGTTAATAATAGAAACTTTAACGTATTTTTTTTACATAAAAGAGTGAAACCCCTTTTAACACCTTCGGTGTACAAAAACTTAGCCAAATACATTTATCAATTAATTACAAAAATAGCTCAAATTGCTTTCTCCCAATGAAAAACCCAAATCAACTATTTTTATTAAATATAGTACAACATTCATGCTATGGAAATCTCAGCTGAAATCTTTTTGCTACGTGTCGCAGTACATTTTGTTTCGCATATGTCGCAAGTACAAAATTTTCTACTTCCTCCAATTAAAAATAAGTATTAAAATCTCTATTGAATAAAAAAAATCTAAAACTAAATTGGAAAACAATATTTTATTTGTCGATCACCAAAATAATCATATGCTATGAGTATAGTGTTCACCAGCAAAAATGTTGTTTTCAAATTTAATTTCTAATTTATTCTTATTAAATATATATTTTAATATCTGTCTTTAGTTTGAGGAAGTAGAAAATCTTGTATCTGCAACATACGTGGAACGAAAGGTACTGTGACATTTGGCAAAAAGATTTCAGCTGGAATTTCCATGAATGTTCTACTATATTTTGTAAAAATAGTTAATTTCAGCTTTTCATTGAAAGGAAGTAATGTGAGCTATTTTTGCAATTAATTGAACAATGATAAATGTATTTGGGTAAGTTCTTGTATACCGAAGGTGTTTTGAAGAGGTCCAATTAAAAAGCATAAATCAGCTTAATTAAGTGGAAGGTTTTGCAATCGTTCTCTTATGAGGTGAATAATTATTTTTCCAGGCCGTGCTCATTTGAGAGAAGCGCTTGTTTTACATGAGGAAAGTCAACGATTGCAGAGAATGTGTCGAGAGCTTAAGGGGAAACAAGCACTGGCCAGAGTTTTAAAAAGAGCACAAGAACAAACCCTCGAAGATTATGCCCAGTCCGGAGAAGAGGATGATTTTCGGGAACTTTTAGATCCACCTCACATATTAGGTAAGCTGAAAATACGTCCAAAGAAAATATAACTCGAAAATTAAGCAATTTTCCTCGAATAGTAATCTATATTTTTCAGTGAAAAATTATTCGAGATACCCACTGAACACTAAACCTAACAGTTATGGTACTTAAAACTAACAAATTTTTTTTTTTATTAACTCCAAATTTATTTACAATCTGTCCTTTAGGACAATATGCAAATTTGTTGATGTACAGAGAAAAGCAGATAACATTATAGAAACAGAGAAAATATATACATTTCGGTAACAGTCCATTGACTGTACGCAAAATACCTAATTACTGAATAAACAATGAGTCTGTTATAAATGTTTACATAATAAAATCGTTATTCTATTGTTCTTATCTGGTTAATCTTGACCTCTTGTTGTTCAAAGTAATTAATCTTCTGGCGAGCTGGTTGGGATGCGTTGAAAGCCTTACTTTATATCTTGAAAAGTGTCTATGTATTTCTTCGTAAACTGTTGGGATTTTTAGATCACTGTTAATTTGGTTATTTGGTACGTACCATGGAGCATTGAGAATAGTTCTTAAGGTTTTAAAACTAACAAATAACATAACGTTTGTTACAATGTAATGACCTAACAGTTACGTAACATGGAGCTAACAGGTTACATATCATTTGTTACTATCATATCTATATAAATGTAGCATAACTTTGTTACTCTCATGTTACATTATGTTACAGTCCTGATATTACTGTGTATATACAGCACATATTTGTAACAAAATAGAACTACATTGGTGCTGTCATTTATTTTATTACATCATCGTCATCGTCATTGCCATAATTCATCGTCAAATTTCATAAGATTAATATATGTCATATTTTGTTTACTACTCGTATGAAAAAGTATGACTTTAATTCATACGCGCATATACATTATCAGTTATTGTTTGCTAGTCGAATGAAATCCTAATTGTCTTTAAGTAAAATCAGATAGTTTATCATTACATAATTTCATNAACAAAAAGTTGAGAAATGCGATGAAGTAATGTAGATTCTTTTTTAAAATTCCTATTATAATATAACTTCAAATATATAATGTGGAATACATAAATACAGTTATAGTTTTCATCTAACGGTATATAAAATTAATAAGAAAGAATAGCCAAAAAATAATCGTCTCCATTTTATATCGACAAATGTTTTTGCAGGTAATAAATTTCCTCCCCTATTCCTGTATGCCAAACATTTTGTTCCGTTATGCTTTTGTAAATTTCGTGCCCATTTATCAGGATTACGACTTCTTTTCCTCCCAATCGATGTGTTTGTTGGGGAATTTATACCGTTGCAATTGGATGAATCCGAGAAACACGATAAACGTCTTCTTGCCCCAGACTTTCTGCTGATAAATCGTATTGAAGAACCATCCCTGCTTTCCACATCCACATTGTTATTAGTTTCACTCATCTTGATTATAACGGTATAATATTTAGTTCTTTAAAAACAATCAGGGAGTAATATTGAAAAGACCAAAAAATATGTAGTCCATGTAATATTGGTGAAGTATACGGTAACATTCAGCGTGAGAGATCACTGTTATACTAACTACCGTTTGCATTGCGCTTCTTTCTATCTGTTTGCTGATGCGATTTTATTACTCATATTGTTGAAAAGGGGAAAGCATCTTCGGCTGTTTAAAAAAAAAAAGCGTCGATGTACGGCCGCAACAGATAATCCAATAATACTATACTGCCAGGTATTCGTCTACGATTTACATTAGAGTATGGAGTTAATCAAAATGGCGTCTGAAATAAATTACTTATTATTCAATGCCCAAAAAAATGTTGCCGTTTAATGGGGTTAATCTCTATTAATCAGAAAAGATATTATAAATATAAAAAGTTATGACTATACCAAGTGCTTTGACACCTAAATTTAAGATTTTTCAAAAAGTGGAGTTTGTCGATGTGTGCACTGAGCGGCTCAAATGTCGGTAACATGTCGCGCAAGCTTATGTTCCCTCTCGAGTATTCAAAATGACGTTCCCACCAAAAAGGGTATAAATAAATTTGAATTTATCGATCTCGACTAAATTTCTTAGCGCGTTTCATATAATCTTATGCCTTGCATAGGCTGTTTAGTGCGTTCCATTGGTCATTGAATGAAAAGTACGTAATACGAGTCATGAAATTTCTGATTATCTGTGTGCAATGTGTAAATAAGAGACATGTTTTGATGTTTCAGTTGGGAGGCATGAAGGAAGGTGATTTTATAGTCAGTATCGGCAACAAAGATGCCAAGTGGGCATCTCATGATCAAGTGGTACGCTTAATAAAGCAGTGCGGCGATTCGATCAGTCTGAAGCTCGTCACTCCGATGGATAGAAATTACTTGAAGGTTATAAGACACGAATTAGCTGGAATCCGAAATTTGGACGTTCATCTAGAATGAATTGAGCAATTGTTTCGATTTATAGAAACCAGCCAAGACGAGTCACCACGACAAGGGAAGTGTTTCTGCAAGTAGTTCTTCAGGCGTCTCCTCCGGCCAACCAAGTCCTGCAGGTTCGGTCACAACGGCCCATGTAGTCAGAAGGCTTCCCTGGAATCCTTTTAAGAAATCAAATGGTCAACGTGACAGTCGAGACTTTACTTTTGACAATGTTATTCTAAGATGATCCCACGAGCATACCTGAAGAAAGGTCACGGCGATTATTCAGATTCGAACAAAATGTTCCGTTCCAATCGTGTTAAGGAGACACCGCAGAATTATTTGAAAACAAAGTTTTCCATGAATTTCTAACTTTTCTGTCCCAGGCTATTGATTTGCGACGTATATACTACTTTTACAAATATTGTACAAACGCTATACGTGTATTAATAAGTTCTAGATAGTATCACGTACACATTGATTTGTAAAGTTAAGTTTGCAGATTCAATTCAAACTAGGATTGCTGACTATTTTTCTTCAAGTTTCCTGGAATTTATTTGAAAAAAAAAAAGAATTGTTAATATGTCATATCGCATGAATCGTTGCCAAATCATTAGGTATTTTTAAGTAGGATTCTTCGTGATTTGTTTAAAGCCATATATTATTAATAAAATGTTTAAAACGCATAAATAATTGAAGGTTAAATGAATAATTGATCTAGCTCTAATTAATTATTTTTGTTGGCAATACCGGAATTCTGTTATTTTCATGTCATCAATCAGTAATACTGTACCGAAGGACCTGTATATAAGTATATCTCATTATTCGTGATTTGCCATATAATAGAGTGAGCAAAAGAAGTGACAAATATTGTTTGAATACTATTGTCGTACACAGAAGAAAATCTTTGTTTATCACTCAGTCAAACTACATATACCCCTAATGCAGGCCATCAAAATTGTATATCATTTTTCTCCGTGACCTATTTCTAAATCTGCTAAAAGTGTTACTACGACACGGAGAATATTTTTTAAGTTGCAAAGCTTAAGGTGATATGAAAGAGTCAGCCTATGAATATCTGAGAACTCAAATTGTTGGTGGAAGTATTCTCCAAATTGAATGTACCGATTCGTTTCAAATTTTACCACGTGAATGTGGAGGTCCTAAAGTAGATCCTGAAACTCATAAAATTTCATTTTTCATTAAAAAAATGTATTTACTTATCATGGACTAAAACCAGCATGGCATGGTCCGTGCACGTTTCCGATGTTTTACGCTGCTTGGAGGTTTAGATTCGAAAATCAAGAGTTTCAGTACCTAGCTCGAACAATTTAGAATACCATAAAAATGGAATATTACAGAGTCAGGTGGGTAAATATGGAAAATACTTTCACCAACAATTGCAAGAGAGTGGTAGCTTGTCCAGAGGCTAACGCGTGTTTTTAGAGCAAAAGTTTAGTTGCAACTTAACGTCACAGATGGCAGCGTTGGTCCTAAACAGTCGTTAGAATAATGAATTCACGGGATTTCGACTGTTTTACGTCGATTTTTTATCATTACTTTACTGAAATGACATATGGAAAGCTTCAGTTCGTATAATTCTCAACGTAGACTCTAAAAGACCAACATAAATATAAATGTCGGTAATGAGACGTGCCAGCTTCTGTTACCACTTGAGTATTCAAAACGGCATTACCACTAAAAAGGGTATAAATGAATTTTATTTTATCAACCTCGATTAAATTTCTCAGCGTCTTCCATATCATCTTAAAGCTGGACTTTCATGCGATGCGCAGGTAGCAATGAATGCACTCAAGAGAACAATTATAAAAACAGAGAATACTTTTAAATAATAGCTAAACCGATAGTTTCGAAGACTTCGATCTTTTTTTTGCAATTTCATATCGCACATTATTAAAACAGGGGTGAACTGTAGAAAACAGTAATTAATTCAGTTCGAAAAAGGATTGTGCACTTTTCCGCTCTAATTCTGTAGTATGCACAGTTTTCATCACAACAATGGTACATAAACAAAGAGAATCGTATCTGTAACAAATGGTCGAAGAGGAGTATTTCCGAGTAAATATGCAAATGTGTGAGAGTAAATGTGCAAGAACAAAAATGAAAACTCGAAAATAATTGACAAATAAAAATTTGTGCGTCCTGCAGTAAACTTGGGGTCCAAGAATCTGTGGAATGTATAAGTATTTTTCAAGAGGTTCAACACATTTCAAAATACAAGCATCACATTAATATGAGTTTTGTACAAAGTTGACGACGATGAAGTATTTTAAGAGCTTGCGCGTGATAAATATTAATTGATTGAGAAATTATCAATTGACTGTATTTCACGTCTTTAAGGTGAAGTGTAGCCCCCTTCAAATCAGTCGATTTGAATACAACACTTTTTTTTAAGAGTATTAGACCAAACTGTCCGAAACTTTGACACATGAATCGTGATTATCTAAGAATTGTCCTGACATATTCAAAATTTGAATTTTTTCAAAACGATGGGAATACGAGGTCTCGGAGTGAAAATTTAATTGACCTGGAAATCATAGATGGCGCAGGGTGTCCCTCTGCAGTCAATTAGAACTCCAGAAACCATGAATGCAGAGGATTTCTGGAGTTTTACTTCGATTTCTTGGTATTTATTGTACGAAAACGACAGGTGGAGTATGCCATTTGGTACAATACTCAATATAATTCGACACAGCAGTCAATATAAAAACGAACGTCGGCAACGTAGGCATTTATAAAAATCTTCTCTATCGATGTCGATCAAGTTCCTCGACATGTTTCACTTCACCTTAATAAGACTTGTATAAATTGATCTTTTCTTCTTTTTTTTATGCTAGTGATTTGTTGTACAGTTAATGATCAAGTAAGCAGCTGTAATTGCCTGATACCGAATCAGACATTAAAAGAAACTAAGCTATGCCTTCTGTACAATGCACGCTTTTGTATCCTATTTATTGCGCGGATTTAATACAACATCATGATTATGCAATTTAATGTAACTCGAATCGCGTGGATGCATTATATGGGGCGTACATTTAAAACTTGGCTAATTCCAATGATAAATATACAAAAGTTATACAGCCGACATATCTGTGAAGAAGGCAGCAAGAAACTAACTTCCATCTTCTATTTCCTTCCTCTTGAAATCTAATTATTTAAATGATAATTTAATGCCTGACGAACTACCCTCGCTCTCTCTTTCTCTCTTCTATCAGTATTTGTTCGAATTCTCTTTCGCGCCTAATCTACCAAACCTTTCTGTACGTGTTGTATACTGTATAATTATACCTGCTACTAGAATTGCGTTTCCATATGCCTCATACTGTATCAGTACAATTACCGTTCGAAGTGATGTATTGGTTAAAACCAAAAATATATTATTCATCTTTCACTCTGTAATGTTTATCCCTCCCTGCATAAATTAACAATAAGTCTCTAAAGGTGGGATACGAAGATCACGTGCAACTGAAGAAAGATTCAAAAAGAAATGTTATAGGGTAAGTCCGGGATATATGGACCACCGGTATAGACGGACTAGTCGAATATTTGGCTGAGGTGTCACAGCAGCGCTGCATTCGTTGTCAGAAGTTGTTCTTCTTGAGTAGACGGAACCACGCTTAGTTTTGCTCATGAGTTTCATGCGTATTTTAAAAGAAAACTTTGTTTATTTCTTTTGGTGAGTTGAAAAATATTTTATACTGGATTTATTTGATATGTGGTTAAGTTAGTTTAAATGATTTCGACGTAAGATCAATCCTATAACTCAAGTGTATACTTGAGTACAATCTTGATCTAAAATGGCATGCCGGTAGCGTTGTTTGTCTGGACGGGAAACTGGTCCATCTATCCCCGACAATTGGGATAGATGGACTACTTGAAAAAACCTGGGATAGGCGGACCATATCTCCTCTTAGGGCTTTACTTTCTATATAAATGGATATATGGATGAATGGATGGATGGATGTGAATATAAATCAGACTACCTATATTTTCTAAGTATATTGACTATCAAATTTACTTATCCTTTTTCAAATAGTTTATAACTCTATACTAATCACTTTTCAAGCAGTTTATAACTTTATACTTTGAAATAAACAATGTTTATACCTTTGATAACATGTATTTCTTGTGTTACACCCTGATTTAGTAACGTATACCGGAGGTCCATCAATCCCTAGGAGGTGGTCCATCTAACCCGAGTACCCCCGGGATAGATGGACTACCGAGTAAAAAAAAAGAAAAAATCATAACTTCAAGTGTGATTAGTGTAACAGCTGGAGAAGTGCTTACAATTGTTCAAGGTCATATATACATATTATAAAAAAATATACCAAATCCTAGACATTGCGAAGTTTCACAACAAATGACTTTAAAAAAACATGGTCCAACTATCCCGGACTTACCCTATTTATATGTAACTGTAACATATACATAACGCAATCTTGAGGTTTGTTCGCGTTGACTGCACTTTCTACACTCGAGGGTAATGAGGGTACTACACTTTTCTTGAAAGGTGCAGAAGGGTAGGTACACTTTCGTCGAGGTCCCGAACGCCAGCAACCTCACGAAAGTCCAAGATGACCGAGTTAGTAGAGCGGTACGCGATTTTGAGGTTATCCGTATCGGGCGATGATGAATACGAAAATGTAATGCTTCCTCCAGCCTTCTTTCTTGGGCTGTCTTCGTTTTCTTCAAATCCTACAATTCGTTCTATTACCTTGTAATTGTAGAAGATGAAAATTACTTTCACGAAATTCAGGTATTGAGGATCAATAAGGGTCAGAATATTATTGCAATAGGATGAAAAAATTCGCTTCCGATTTCATAAGGGTCTAGGTCTAGGGTCTTTGTTCACACGTTGGGTTGCACGTTTTGGGACCCCTCTCCGCATTTCACAAGGGTCTAGGCATTTCCTAACTTGTGTAGATCGATTTGCTGGCTGGTCTAAGGTTATCCTGCTAGAGAACATAAAAAAACCCACGTCAGGACGACGGCCTACTACCTGGCAGCCAACGGTCTAGTTGAGCGGTTCCACAGGCAGCTCAAGACGGCAATTCGGTACCACGTCGACGACCGTTGGACCGAAACATTGCCGGCCGTACGGAACGTATAGCGAAATAGAGTTCGAAAATTCTCGGTAACATTAAATTGGAGAAGGTAACTGTGAAACATACCGTAAGTTACCGAGAACATTGAGAATTTAAGAGAACGTTAATTTTGTTCTTTATACTTTAGGTTTCTACGTTTAAATAACTTTTTTTTTCTCAATCAACTTCAAAGTTCAAGCTAAAGAGTAATAATTACTATTAGAAAATATTGATTATAGGGTCGTATTTACCTCCAGCTAAAAATATTCACGTATGTACAACTTCACGGAAAATTCCATGCGATTTGTTTCAAACGAACTGATATTTCATTCTGCGACGAAGCGAATGGGAGGTTTTGATTGGCTACGGAGAACGTACAACGGAAATTCCTCTCTACGATGTTTCTCTATAGCTAATCGAAACCTCTCGTTCGCTCTGTTGAAAAATTCAAATTCTCATAATTTCTCGATAAAAAAGGCTTTGGAGAAATTACCGATAAGTTACCGGGAATTTCCTCTTCGTTTCTGACGTAACTTACTGGATTTAGAACTCTATAGCGAAGAGAACGCCGGTAACGGCGTTCACCACCAAAGTTGGAACGATGACTTCCACCGCTAGGTGGCATTAGCATCGAATTCGGTGGGAGGTAACCAAAACGTACTTTTTCGCTCGGATGAGGGAGACGCGACGCATAATGGGCGGTGTTTAGCAACGGGCGAAAAATGTGTGTGTATTTTGCACGTATAGGACTCACAC